CCCCCCGCCGCCGGCGCAGAGCAGCAGCGCCCACAGCCCGCAGAGCCGCGCCGGCCGCTCCATGCAGCCCCTCGCCTCGGAGCCCGGCCGGGCTGCAGCCTCGGCAGTCTCCGCCTCCTGAGCTCCCTCTCCCACTTCCCGGCTCCGCCGCCCTGGAGGCTGGGGGCCGGCGCGGACGGGAAGGGCCGCCCCGCCCACTGGCCGCAGGTAACCCAGCCGGCGAGCGCGGGCGGGCCCAGGGAGCGGGGCGCCGGCGGCTCCCGCGGCGAGACCCCTGGCCCTGCCGCCGCGCCGCCTCGGGCCCCTCCGGAGTCCTGGCTCGGGCCAAACAGAACTTCCTCGCCCACGTCGCGGCCCAGCCCACGCGCCTGCCGGGTCCCCGCCCTCCGCACGGTGGAGCCACCCCTGTCCGGCGTCGCCGCTGCGTGCAGACTTGCGGGACCTCGGAGGTGCCAAGGGCCGTGCCCTGCTGGGCACCCGGGCAGGGCCGGTAGCGGGCAGGGCCGTCTACCGGAAAGAGCCTTGGCCTGGGAGTCTGGAGACGCGGCTTCGAGTCGTCGGCCTCTGTGCCCTTGTTTCCTAAACTCTGACTCCAGTGTTAGCGATCCCAGCCCCACCTCACAGGGTGGACTTGAAAGACCAGAGAGGCGACCTGGCAGGAGCGCGCTTTGTGAGAAAGACGAAAGGTATATTTGGAAGCTGGTGATACATAATGTTGAGTCAGAAAAAAAAAAGCAAAATTCTAAATATGAGGAACAGTGCCATAGTATGTACTTGGACTTTTAAAAGCACACACCAACTTTCTACATATTTCTTTTTCATGGATATATATTGGGAGGATGGAAGGTGAGTCGAAAGGATACACATTGAATACAGAAAGTGGGTGACTGTGAGGCTCAATGAGGCTGGGGATGGAAGAAAACGGAAACCCTTATTAGTTTCCTATTGCTACTGTTAACAGATTACCACAAATTTAGTGACAAATTTAGTGACTTTAGTTCTGGAGGTTAGAAGTCTCACTTGGGCTAAATCAGTGTGTGGGCAGAGCTGCGTTCCTTCTGGAAGTTCTAAGGGAGAATCTGTTTCCTTGCCTTTTCCAGCCTCTAGAGACTGCCCACATTCCTTGGCTTGCTGCTGTACCACTCAGACCTCTGCTTCCCTTGTCACATCTCCTGCTCTGACGCTGACCCTCCTGCCTCCCTTTTTCATTTATAAAAACCCCAGTGATTAGATTGGACCTACCAGACAATCCATGATAATCTCCCCATCTCAAAACCCTTGATTTAATCACATCTGCAAAGTCACTTTTGCCATATAAGGTAACATATTCACAGTTGTCTGGGATTAGAGCATGGGCATCACTGGGAGGAGGCATTATTCTGTCACCGCCCCCCAAGAAAGAGTCATGTCTGGATAGATGATGAGACCCACTAACTGAGGTGTATTTTGGTTGAATTAAGCCAATGTGTACACCTGAAATCTGTTGCAAAAAAGTAGCAATAGGGGCCAGCCGGTGGCACAAGCAGTTAAGTGCTCGTGCTCCAGTGCGGCAGCCCCGGGGTTCGGGGGTTTGGATCCCGGGCGCACACCCACGCACTGCTTGGCAAGCCATGCTGTGGCGGCGTCCCATATAAAGTGGAGGAAGATGGGCACATATGTTAGCCGAGGGCCAGTCTTCCTCAGCAAAAAAAAAAAAAAAAGAGGAGGATTGGCAGATGTTAGCAATGTTAGCACAGGGCTGATCTCACAAAAAAAAAATAGCAATAAAAATGTTGATAATACACCTAGTCTACACCCTACCCAAAGGACATGGCGATGTTTAACCTATCCGAAATAAAGGCTTCACTCTTTGAATTAAGGCCCTCAAGTTCAACAAATGTTTATTGTCCTTCCAGGAGCCACGTTCTTTATTATTTTTTATTTTGTGAGGAAGATCAGCCCTGAGCTAACATCCGTGCTAATCCTCCTCTTTTTGTTGACGAAGACCAGCTCTGAGCTAACATCTATTGCCAATCCTCCTCCTTTCCCCCCCCCAAAGCCCCAGTAGATAGTTGTATGTCGTAGTTGCACATCCTTCTAGTTGCTGTATGTGGGACGCGGCCTCAGCATGGCTGGAGAAGCGGTGCGTCGGTGCGCGCCCGGGATCCGAACCCGGGCCGCCAGTAGCGGAGCGCGCACACTTAACCACTAAGCCACAGGGCCGGCCCAGGAGCCGCGTTCTTTAAAAGCAAACCCTGCCAAGAAAGAGCCGCAACCAGTGCAAGGGGCTATCGTAAGGGCAAGAACAAGGAACTGGAGGAGACAGAGAAGGGGCGCCTTATGGGAGGGAAGGGGCAAGGACGGCTTCCAGGAAGCAGGCCTGCCTGCACTGAATCTTGAGATATTGAGTCTTACAGTTCAAAGTTCAGAATAAATCCTTGCCTGCACATGTTATTGAACAAAACAATGTTTATGAAAACACTTTGTAAACTATCAAAGCCTGTAGAACTGAGAGATATTACTATTATTTCTAAATCCCCCCTCCTCCTCCAAATAGGCCAGCCACTCTCTAACCTAAGACCTCCCCTCCCCCATCACCGCACACATACCCTTGTTGACATTTGCTATAAACATTATACAATCATTTCCAATATGATTATGTCATCTGCCTTTTAAGAAGTCTCCAGTCAGAGCAGGAGCCCCCAAGGACCGGCTGAGTGCCATCATGGGCACTGTCTGGCATAGACTGAGCAAGTGCTTAATGAAATGAACAGTAATGGCAGCAAATGATTAGAAAAATCAGGGTCACGGCTTGTTATTAGTCTCCAGAAAAGGCCCTGAGAATGTGAGCATTGTGAGGAAAAAGGCAGAGGGCAGTGGCTTGGCCATAATAGTTCCAGCCTGCTGTCCATGAGTAAGACTTGTATAGTCAATTCCACTTCCTCTCGACTCTGAACATCAAGAAGTATTTTTAAAAAAAATTTTTGAAGGGGGTAGTGAGGGTTAGGAATGCTGTTTTCTTCATCATCAAACTTTTATTTGTAATCTCTGTGTACTTTTACTCAAAGAGCATTTGGATGGAATTGGGCCACTGCCCTAGTCTGCAGGAAGATGAAGACAAATGGAAGGCTTTCCAGGAACTGCAATACGCAAAGAGCTCTTATTTTGGCTTTGTGTAATCAAAGTCATGATGAGTCAACATCAAGTTTAACTTTAACCCTTAATCCATTGAGCCCTGATGACTTGGGTGTGAGACTAGCAACCACCTTTCTTTTTGCTTTGACGGGGGGTGGATGGAATTCTGGGCCACTGTATTTGGCTTTTTTGATCTTTACCCTTCTCACTAAGGCTTTATCCTTTTCTGTAAGTGGAGTTAGAAAAGGACACAAATGAAAATATCTGGGAGGAAAGAGTGATGTCCCTCTTTCCAAAGTCAGGTCTCCTTCCAGTCAGTTAGAAACACTCCCCTGAGTTCATAAAGGACACAGACACCAGCATACATATACCAGTTGCTTAGCTAAGAATTCTGGCTTCTTAGGCAAAAATCTCACCGAGGGTCTTCTACCTTTTATTAAGCAAAAACTGAACAGATCCTCACCACTGCCATACAAAGGAAAAAGAGAAGTAGCCAATAGGGAATTTCCCTCCTTCCAACACTAGAGCAATGGTTCCCAACGGGAGCTGATTTTGCCTCCCCAGGGGACATTTGGCAATGTCTGGAGATATTTTTGGTGGTCATGACTTGGGTTGGGGGGTCTGCTACTGGCCTCGAGTGGGTAGAGGCCAGGGATGCTGCTAAACATCCTACTATGCACAGGACAGTCCCCCACAACAAAAACTTATCTGGCTCAAAATGACAATAGTCCCAAAGTTGAGAAATCCGGATCTAACGTACTCTGTTATTTTTTGTATTTCGCCCCTACCCACCCATTGTCCTCATGCCCACCAAAAGTTAGTGAGAGATTAATGCTAAAAGTACTTATCCTTGACACCTCCCTTTCCTGTATCTAGTGCCTGTAGTTTCCTCACCTGACCATCTAGCCATGCAGTCACTTATATCATAAAGCATCTCTCAGATCTATTCTCTCCTCCGCCCCCTCCACCTCACCTCCACTGTTCTATCCCTGTCCTTATCATCCTTCCCTTATACACTCACAACTGTCTTCAAATCCACTCTCCACGAGACAGATCTTCCCAATGTGCAAATCTGATCATTTCACTCCCAACTGAAGCTTCTTAAGTGACACCGCCTCCCCTCAAATGCCACAAAAGGAAGTCCCAACTCCTTTGCATACAGGCTTGCTTCTTCTCAGCAGATTTCCCCAGACTCCAGCTTCATCTCCAGCCAGGCTCCCTAAGTCACTCAGAGCTCTAGCACTCCTAGCTGACTGGCCACCTTTAGGCTCAATGTCCCTTGTAGGCGTTTTGTTTGGCCCACATCATGTTTAAATTTATTTGGATATAGATGGCAAAAATGAAAAAAAAAATCAGGAGATTTTGCATAACACCCCAGGTTTCCAGCTTCTCTTAAGAAATCAGAAGTTCTGCTAACAGCGGACCTGCGTTCCAGTGTACCAACAGTCAGCAGGTGCTAAGCAGGGGCTGCCACCTTATCAACAGGCGTGTGCTCCCTGTCTGCACAGGCCCTGTGCTCCCTGGCCGGCCTGCTTCCTTCACTGATTACTTGCCTGGCCCCTGTTTGTCACCTCTGATATTTTCTCACTACAAACCTTTCCTCTTGCTGTTCTCTTTACCCAGAATGCTTTTCCATTCCTCACATGTCACATTTTTTTAGCTTCTTTAACCCCAAAATGCAAAATTCTTTCCTCGCTTTTCTATGTGTGCTCATAGCACTGGACAAATTCCTCTACCATAGCAAATAATACAGAAGTTTGTGTGCATGTCTATTTCTGCCACTAGATGCAAGCTCCTGGAGGAGCTTAGGGGCAGTAATCTGATTGGAAGGGACGCAACCACGGGGCTTGTCTTGAAGCCATGTGCGTACAGCAAGCACTGATCTTACTTAGATTCTAAGTTTATTTGGAGTGGCTTAAGGGAAGATACCATCTGGCACCACAGAGAAGATAAAGATGAATGTAGCACGGTCAGTAATATACCATGCCCTCAGTGTTCAGGTTTAATTGACTTCAAGGTTCTTGCTCTTCAGCAAGTGATTTCCTTCTACAAGTTTAGCGGGGCTTACTCAAGGGAGTGCTGTTTGCACAAGAGGCCTGTGACCAGACCCTTTGGGTTTAGCCTGAGGCAGAGTAGCGTGGCACTGGGGGGTCTGTCTGGGTCAATATCCTGAAGCCCATCAACCTCTAAGTCTCCAAACTTTATAGCAGTTATTAAATGGCCTCTTGAATTCAACAAGGCACTCCTCTGCTCAGAACTCTCCAACAGGGCCGGCCCCGTGGCTTGGTGGTTAAGTGAGCGCGCTCCACTGCTGGCGACCCGGGTTCGGATCCCGGGCTCGCACCGACGCGCTGCTTCTCTGGCCATGCTGAGGCCGCGTCCCACATACAGCAACTAGAAGGATGTGCAGCTATGACACACAACTATCTACTGGGGCTTTGCAGGGAAAAAAAAAAAAAAAAAAATCTTTAAAAAAAAAAAAAAAAAAAAAAAGAACTCTCCAACAGCTTCCAAGGCCCTACCCAATCTCACTTCTCTAACCCCCTCTCCTATTGCCCTCCCCCAACGCACTCTCCTCCAGCCACACTCACCTCCTGGCTGTTCCTCACAGCAGCCAAGCGCACTCCTGCCGCAGGGCCTTTGCCCTGCCTTTGCCTTCTGCTATTTGCTCCAGCCTCCTGAGATAGCCACACCTCTCACTCCCTCACCTCATTTAGATCTCTCATTGAGGCCTGCCCTGGCCACCCTGTGGAAAATTGCAAACCCCATCAACACTCTCCCCTTTCCTGGGTCATTCTGTCTCTCTACACTAGAATGGAAGCTTCATGAGGGCAGGGAATTTTTCCTGATTTATTCCAAGCTGTATCCCCGGCACTCAGAACTGTACCTGACACAGAGTACATATTCAATAAATATATATATATTTTTTATAATTTTATTTATTTATTTCTTTTTCCCCAAAGCCCCAGTAGATAGTTGTATGTCATAGTTGCACATCCTTCTAGTTGCTGTATGTGGGACACGGCCTCAGCATGACCGGAGAAGCAGTGCGTCAGTGCGCACCTGGGATCCGAACCCGGGCCGCCAGCAGTGGAGCGCGAGCACTTAACCGCTAAGCCTCGGGGCCGGCCCACAATAAATATATTTTAAAGAATGAATAAATTACACTTTGCTCGGTGCTATGAGGGATACCAACCAACAAACAAAAGGCAACAATTCTTGTTGCCTTTGGGAAACTGCCAGTCTAAGTTGTGGAAAGGTATACAAAACAATTAGAGAAAATGCAACAAACAAACAAACAAACAAGAATGACAAAAATGCTCATTTGTGGTACAAGTTTCAGAGAAAGGTGAGAGAGACCAGTGTGGTTGGAATTGCTTTTGAAGGCTTCTTGGAGTAGATGGGGGTTGGACTAGACCTTGAAGGGTAACCAGAACTTGGAGATCAAGAAGGAGGGGGAGAGAGAGAGAGGGAGAGAGAGAGTATAAGTGAGCAACAGTCGGTTTATGGCTCAATCTCATAAGCAATAAGAGCCACCAAAGACTTTTATGAGCAAGGTGGTGACATAACAAAAGTGAGGTTTGGGAGATCTGGCTTTCTAAAATGAATCACCAAGACTTCCTTAACTCTTGCCAGGAGGCAAGAAGGCCAGGGAAAGACTTTGAGATGTTAGCAGTCAGGGACAGGGTCCAGCCTCCAGGCAAACTGTGGGCTTCCCCAGTCAGACTCCAGGGGTGGTGATGCTAATTCTTCCCTGAGTCAAACTACTTGGAGTGCTGCTCTATGAAAGAGTATGCCCTGTGGTCTAGCACCCCTACTCTCTCATGCTCCCCCTGAAAGCCTTCAAGATTGCCTCTGGTGGCTCCCTGGCCTCACTCCCTTCAGGCTACAAACCTTCCTCTCTGGAAATGGCCCTGTTTTGCTTTCCAGCACTTTGGTCTCTGAAAGAGGAAGGGCCTTTGTGCATCAGCATCCTGGGCTCCTTCTTTGTCTTCTGGTTGTGGTGCTGTCGTTGCTGCCACTGTTACCGCTCAAGGGGGGGGTCTTCTGCCCACTGCAAGACGTGCCAATAGTTAAGAGGCAAGGAGGTAGGAGAGAAAGGACTTTATTACAGCTTGCTAGCAAGAGGGAAGATGGCCGACTCATGTCTGAAAGAACCATCTTCAGGGGGGCACAGAATCTTACAGCAGTTATATAGGCTGGTGGGTTATAGGGGAGGAGGGTTAGGAATGTTGACCCTCTGGTGTTACAGACTGGGAGTCGCCACACCAGATCTTTCAGTTTTCATTGATGATGGCTATCAGCATAGACTCTCTGTTCGGGGGTCATTGCATTCCTAAGGAACTCAAGAGAACAAAGTTATCAACTTATTGCTGCTGGGAGGCGCCATAAAATCCACAGAGCATGTCTGGGTTGGTTAGTCAGAGGTCATTCAAAGTTACAATAGGGTTTCTTTTCTACAATATGGCTTCCCTTATGTCAATCTTGTCTTGAGCCGGTATCACCACTACCTCAGCATCTCAGCCAGGATCCCCTGCAAACTTTTCACTGGACCCTCTCCACCCTGGATCTAAAACCCTATTTAGGCCCTGTCCCCTTCCCTGGCCCAGCCAGGACAGGGTCCAATCTTTGCACACTGTCAAGGACAGCTTTTTTAGTGTCTCACCACTCAGCTCCTTAGCATTAGTCTCTCTCTCTCTCTCTCTCTCTCTGTCTTCTCAGCCTCAGGACTCCTCAGTTTAAAGATTCAAATGCGTCATTTGCATGTTAGTCACCTGCACCTTCTTGCCCTGAAAAGTCTCCATTGTTCGTCTTGAACGTGTAGGGTAATTAATATTTACATTTGACCATAGAAACCTCCAGTCCCCCTCGCCTCTTAGTTGTCCCTTCAATCCACAAAGCTTCTCTGAGGAGGGGGCTCTTTGCATAGCTGTGACTCCTCCCAGAAATCAACGCTCTAATTTGCACACTCCCAGAGGTCACTTTGCCTACCTGGCTGTTGGACAGTTCCCTATGCAAGCAAGGAATCGAGGCCTCACTTTTCACTTGGAAAGCACCAGGTCGAGGAGGGTGGGGGAGCAGCAAAACTTGTCCCGATTTAGTTCCCGAATTACCCCATCTCTCCCACAACTCTTCACCTGGATGGCCTGTTCTTACTCTGGACTATTTAAAGCAAGACAACTGCAGCATGACCTAGTTGGTAGCATCCACAGTGCTGCACCGCGGCTGTGTGCACTCTGGGCTAAGAACCAGAGGCTGGCCTTGCCACTTCTCAGCCACGGAAGCAACAGCCTGTCGTTTAACTTCTCTGCATCCTTGGTTTCCAGGATGGTACCAATCTTTGCAAATGTGATGAGGTTTGCTTTATGATACAATGAATAGTTTATTTTTGTAAATGTTCCACGAGTGTTCAAGGAAAATGTATATTCTCCAATTATTGGGCCCAATGTTCCACACGTGTCCATTAAATCAAGTTTGTGGATTGTGTTTGTCAAATCAATATACTTGCTGATTTTTTTTGTCTGTTGGACCTATCAGTTACTGAGAGAAGTGTCAAAAATCTCCCACTATGATGCTATGATGGTGAATTTGTCAAGTTATCCTTATAATTTTGCTGATTTTTGCTTTATATATGTATTTTTGAGGCTATTTCATCAGATGCATGCAAATCTAGAATTGTTATAGCTTCATAGTGAACCAAGTCATTTATCATTATGAAGTAATTTTCGTTAACCTAGTAACGAAAGCCAAAACCTTTTGGCTTTAAAGTCTATTTTGACTAATATTATTATAACTTCATAAGCTTTCTTTTGGTTAGCATATGCCTGGTACATTTTCCCACATCCTTACTTTCCTTTCTGTGCCATTCTGTTTTAGATGTGGTCTTGGAAACAACACAAAGTGCAAATTTGTTTTTTCTATCCGATAGGCAATCATTGTCTTTTAACTGTAGAGTTTAGTTCTAATATATTTGTACTTATTTCTACCATCTGATTTTGTGCTTTCTATTCGTTCCATTTTTTACTGTTTCTTTTCATCCTCTCCTCTCGACTCGTTTTAAATGTTGTTGGGGGTTTGGGGTCTTTTTTCATTACAAGAGCATGTTTTAACTTGCGTAAAACAGGCATAATAATAGCGCCTACCGCAGGGTTTGTTGTAAGGATTAAATGAGATGAAGAAACTCACATAAAATGTTTCTCCAGTGCTTAACACATGGTAAGCACTAATAAATTGGAACTATTATTAGAAGTTCTAGTACTCTTTCATCTTTAGGGTTCCCTTGTCTTTTGCGGTTCCGCTTCTTTTGTTCTCCTTTCTGCTGACATTGTCCCATTTGTTCTCAGTCCTTTTTCTTTCAATTCTCCTTTAGTGTCATTCAATTTCCTGTTTCCTCTTATCCGTTCATCCCCAGCTGGCTACATGTGTAAGATACAATGGTGAATGAGGCCCCTTGGGGAAGAGGGTCAGCGTGGGAGGGCTTGGTGGCACAGCAGGGACAGGAGGAGAGACAGTGGTGCCATGTGCACTGATTCCCATTCCACAAGATGACAAAAGTCCTGCCCAATATGCAGCCAGCTCTGTGTGGGACTCTAGGCTGGTCATGGTGGAGTTGGACCAGCTGGGATCATCAGTTTCTCTGAAATGGTATAAAGCCGTAGAACTCACCAGCTAGGAAACAGTTTAATTCCCAAGCGCCTTCGCCTATAGAATACAGCCGGATCCTCACTGTCTACTCTGAAGAAGGAGTCTTGCTGTGGGAGAGTGGGTGTCACCTCACTAGGAATTTGTATTTGTACAAACCAGAGCCTGGAAAGAGGAACCATTTGTACTCAAACATATTGTGGTCAGAGGAAAATTTTGTCATCATTGTTGTGACAGAGCTGCAACTATATTTAGAAGGCTGTATTTTTGTGTGCCTGTGTGATGCTTGGAGAAAGCAACACATTATGTTTCCAAAAAACAAAAACTCCCTAGACCAAAGAAGAATCTCTCTTCTAATTTGGCATTCGATTGTCGTGGTGATTCCTTACTCCAATTACTTCAGATCTTTGCTTTTTCTGTGTCCTTTGTAGCATGACATTCTTTCAAGATAGATTGTGTCACCGGAGGAACATTGGCACTTAGTGGAGTTTTGGGTGTTTTTCTGTTCTCTGGTGGTTTCCACACTTGGATTGAAATAAACAGAGGTGTTGAACTTCCATATTTCGAATGGGCATCATCCAAATATGAGTCTAATCTTTTGATGGCAATTAAGCATATACTTTTATTTTATTTTATTTTATTTTTTTGTGAGGAAGATCAGCCCTGTGCTAACATCCACCAATCCTTCTCTTTATTTTTTGCTGAGGAAGACTGGTCCTGGGCTAACATCCGTGCCCATCTTCCTCCACTTTATATGGGATGCCGCCACAGCATGGCTTGCCAAGCAATGTGTCGGTGCGCGCCCGGGATCCGAACCGGCGAACCCCGGGCCACCACAGCAGAGCGCAAGCACTTAACAGCTTGCGCCACCGGGCTGGCCCCCTATACTTTTATTTTTCACAATAAATTTTATATAGATGCTGTTGGTATTTTTTGAAATTTCTTTGTTACAAAAGTGCAATTTCAACTTACCATGTAGATGAAATGCAATGCATTCCTGACTGTTAGCATATACAATAACAAAATGCCTCTCTATGATTCAGAAGTTCTACAAAACAAACTGTATATAATGCATTGTATCTGTCTTCATCAAAGAGATTGCTACTGCCAGCATGGAAGCAGGAGCAATTTAATTTCTTGAAATCCGCAGAAAGGATATGGAGTAGAAGGTGAGACAGACGTATACGGTAGACAGAATGCAGAATGAAACACATCTAGGAGGTGAGAGAGTTTTAGGAAAGAGTGGGAAAAGGAATGGAGATTTGAGACAGAGAGGTATGAGACGTGGGAGAGGGTCTTCCAATTTTAGTAGTCAGATAAATATTTGGTTTGAAGTGACTGGGGTTTTACCTCCCCTAGTATTCTCTTAACTAGTGGCTGTTAAATTTTTTGATCTCAGGACCTCTTTAAACTCTTAAAAATTATTGAGGACCCCAATCCTAATTTCTTTCCTTCTCTCCCACAGTATTCATCCCAAGGGCACTCTTTACTTAACAGCCGGCACTCTAAACTCTGTCTCAGAGTTTATTTCCTGGGGAACCGAACCTGTGACAGTGTCTAGCACAGGCCCTACCATATTTATGCTTACAGTATTGAAGCAATTAGTTTTCTCAGTTTCAGGTATATTTGACTTTAAACAAACTAATTTTAATAACTTCTAGACAAATGTGGGAATTATTCCTTTTGTAAACAGATTCTTTAAATCTCTTAAAGCATTTAACAGATAATAGGATTTATTAAAAATGAAGTGTAATAGACAAAAAATAAGGTGTAATCATTAGGGAAATGCAAATCAAAACCACAATGAGATACCACTTCACACCCGTTAGGATGGCTATTATTTAAAAAAAAAAAAAAAAACAGAAAATAACAAGTGTTGGTGACAATGTAGAGAAGTTGGAACGCTTCTGCATTGCTGGTGGGAATGTAAAATGGTGCAGCCACTGCGGAAAATGGTTTGGCAGGTCCTCAAAAATTTAAACATAGGAGGCCAGCCCGGTAGCGTAGTGGTTAAGTTTGCGTGCTCCGCTTCGGCAGCCTGGGGTTCAGAT